TGGGAAAAGTCGCATCAGTCGCGTGTCCTCTTGTGGCTATCCATCGCCCTCGCTCTGCCGATCCTGGTGCGGTCCTTACTCTGCGTCCTCCGCATCTCATCCTCAATCCTAGCGCCGCAGTCAGTATATGGACAGTTTGCCCGTTGATACACCCAAGCAGGTAAGGTACGCTGCAGAAACGGGACTGTTCATGACGTACTCCTTGATCTTCTCGGTGATGTTTACCATCTTGGCGGCGGGGGTGCAGCCGCTCGCTGCGCGCAATGTAGAGGTGGGGTAGTCTGGTCGGGGTGGTCTGGAAGTCAAGTCGCGTGTGAAGAGAGGTTCGGTTGATCGTGTGGGAGGTCGTCGTCAGATGCGAGGTGAAAATACTCGTCCCTTGTTGAATTGTCGTCCGTTTCGGAGGTTTCAATGGCCAGTTGGCTGCGAATGAAGTTCATAAACTTTTTGCGGGGTGGTGGGGCCTCTGTCGAAGTAGATTGGTTTTTCCTGGCAGGCGCCGCCCACTGCGTGAGAAAAGAACACAGCCTGGTGTGGAAGCCGCTAAAATGCACTACACGCCAGGGCCGCGCGCATTTCTAGGACAGAATATGAATACAAAGTAGTGATCATATTAACTCATGCTCGTTAGACTGTTACAGAGGGCAGCTAATTATTATACAAAATCACAAATTGCCCATAAAACATGCGACCCGTTTCGCCTCCGACGTTAGCCTTTAGCTGTTGAAGATGCGCGAGTACAGCATCTCGTGGCGGCCCATCCACAGGTCTACCACCGGCATCGTCTGTCCGGCCTCTTCCACAGGCACATCCCATGCGCCTTCGACCGACCGCACAACAAGTTGCTGCACATGCGCCGACGCTAGCAGTCGCTGCGCCTGGTACGGTCCCACCAGGTTGGCGCGCACCGCGGCCGATAAAAGTGCCTTGACATGCGACAGGATAAATACGTCGGCGGCCTGTCGGCGGTCGAGGCCGGCCAGCGCGGCAACGGCACCAAAGAGCGGAGGCATGTGGGCAGATGCCTCGGATAGGGTACCGGGCCGTGGGTTGGAGGAGCGCTTGACGAGAAGCGCAAACGGCCGCAAGGGGTCGATGGCTGGTTCGGACTGTGCGGCCTGTGAGGTCTGTGAGGACGGTGAGGACGGTAAAGGCGGTGCTGGTGACGGTGAGAGAGTCGGTGAAAAAGCACGTTCCCAGACAGATAGCAGTGCACGGCCTTGGGCTACCGAGGCGCGACGGCCGACGGTGCAGATGATGGTGGCGTCATATGTGTCGTCGAGAAGGGTGAGTGCAGAGGTGAAAGCTTCGACCGTCGATGGGAAAGTCTCTGAGAAATTGGACGAAGCAGCTGCGGCTGCGACTGCGGCAGCGCTCGTCACCGTAGATGCAGCGTCATGCGCAGCCAGGACAAACGGCAAAGTGGCGTAGGCGTAGGATGAGACGGACAATGGCAGGAAAGCGGCAAAGGCCTCCGGGCCGCTCTTTATGCCCTTTGGTATGGCATTGGCTGCAGCCGCGAGAGAGGTGGCAGCCGATGCCGCTGCGGCCGCCTTGTCGTGTGCGAGAAACGACTCGAGTCCACTGCTAAAGGCAAACGAACCAAGCGGTAGCGCTGAGTCGGAGAGTAAAAAGAGAAAGTGACGCTGCTGCTGTTGGTGCCGCGATGCAGAGCTATCCGAATGTCGTATGGATGTCCCGTGCTGTTGCTGCCGGCGCAGTTTTGCATCGCGCAGACGGGCCTCGAGATCGGCAATCTCGTGGTCTATGGCTGCGAGGCCCTCCAATCTCGCTAGAGGGTCGTCCATTGCGTCGGGAGTTTGGCTGAGAAACCAAATTCGGTGATGTCTTGCTGGCAGTGCTTTCGATATTTTTCCAATGGAAGCAATTAAGTCCTTGCTCGAGGCTGAGAGCGGGCGCAAAAGTACGTTGGACGAGGAAGAGCAAGGCCAAGTTAAAATAAAACCGGCGTTGGGCGGGCTTGATAAGGTCGACTAAAATGTGTCAGCGACGGCTTTCGCTTGTGTGCCGCTCTCCCGCCCGCCTTTTGTCGTATTAGTGCTGGTCCCATTAGGTGGGTGGTAAAGCTTAAGTCGCACCAACGTCGCTTTCGAGTTGTTCAAAACGTCAGGAACACAACCATTCCAAAATAGAGAAAGCGAAGAACAAGTGGATAAAATCAGAAAGCCAGAAAAAAATATAAACAAGCATGTTCCTCCGAAACAGAGGCATCTACCCCAAGTTCATTGTCCAAATGACCCATCTCATCCTGTCCCAGACATATCCCCTTTTCCCTCATGTGCCCGGAAATCCAAACAAATGGGCAGCACAGCAACCATGTTTCATATCTCCTGCCTTCTCGTCCCATAGAAAAACCAAGAATTATTTCGAGCGCGCGGTATCACAGAAACAAATAACAATCGTCGCGTCGTGCAGCAGAACAGCCCACAAAAGAGCCCGGAGTCAACCCAGCAGGTCCTGCCACGCAGCACACAAACATGTAAGCCACACAGAATTGGGGCGTGAACACCGTGAAAGAAAAATGAGAAAAACGAAGAACAAAACAGCAAACCCAACCAAATATAAACAAGAAAAACCAAAAGAAGAACGACAAAGCCACGAGTGACCCCTAGCCACAGAAGACCTGAGAGGCTCTCTCCGTGTTTCGAGATACGTCGTCTCGAAAGAAAAATGTACACGAAACCCATTACCGTCGGCCAGTGGACAGCAGGGACCGCCGGTGAGAAGAGAGGACGACAGCGTGGGGGAGGCAAGAGGTATCGGGCGAACAGTGCGAGCCGCGGGGCCGCAACGCCGCAAAACGCCTCATACGCCATTAGAGTTTGCCATTATTATCATTCCCACAAAATCGGAAGAAAGCGAAGAAGCGAAGAGCGACAAGCGGAAGGCGGAAGGCGGAAAAAAAGAGCTGGCAAGGAAGCCAAAAAGAAAACCAGAAGAACTCATGTGCACGAGCCCAGCAAATCACAGAGATGGCAACAACCCAAAACTGTTTCGCGGCCCCCTGTTAAAAGGTGGCCTGGTAGTCGTATTTTGTCATGAGAGGTTGCACAGAGTGCATCTGCAATCTCTCCTGATTTCCTCTATTTCCGCAGAACAGCGTCGTACAGGCTGGCGAGGCCAGTGACGGCCGCACCGGCAATGGCGCCCTGCCAGCCACCGTACAGGGCCGAGTTGATGCGGGCTACTGCCAGCTGGTCGATCCAGCCGCAGACGTCGACGCCCTGGGCCTGGATCACGTAGACCAGAAGGGCCTTGGCCACGCTGAACGTCAGCGGGTCCACGGCGTACTCGGAGTTCGAAAACGGCCGGGAGCGGCCGCGTCCGGTGTGGTGGCTGCCGCTGGCGGCCGACAGGTTGAACAAGTAGCCGACAAACGACGGGATGGCAATTGAGATGAGGAAGAACAGGATCACGGGCGACCAGAAGGACGCCGTCAGCAGCAAAAACACGTCGGGCAGCGAGACCGGGTACGCGCTGGTGCCGAGGAAGCGGATGGCGGGGATGGAGAAAGCGTAGCGCACGGGCAGGACCTCGGCGCGCAGGTGGAACCACTCAAAGGCGGACACGAGCAGGGCAATGGCGTAGACAGTCGACAGCGACTCGCGCGTGGCCTGGGTCACCTCGGTGATACCCGAGTCGGCGTAAATCGAGACGATGCGCTCACGCACGGCGAGCGCGCTGCGGTCAACGGCCTGCGCAACATCCGCGGGCGAGGCGGGCAGCGCGATACGGCTGGCAGCCAGCGACAGGGCACGGCCGGGGGTGCGGATCAGAGCGGTGGAGCGGCCACGGATGGAGTCGTCATCCTCAGCGGCAGCCGACGTAGACTCGTCCTGCGCAGACTTGGGCTGGCGACGCTTGGTCACCTTGACTTCGGATGATTCGCGCTTCACGGGCGAGCCGATGGTCTTGGAGCGGATGTTGAAGTAGGGAGCAAGTCTGGGGTCCGACGAGAGGTGCGACGCGTTCTCGGTGAGGTACTCGTCCAGGGCGGACTCCAGGTCACTCTTCTTCAAGCTTGAGACACTGCGAACGGGAAAGAAAGAAAAGACAGAGAGCCAGGTCAGTCATGGTTATTTCTTGGAGACGGATGCTGGGTATCAGACATCTAGAGCATTGGGCGCACAGCGAACGAGACGCGCTCGGCGCGTTGCTTTCCTCCGCTGTATTCTGTTTGTTTCTGAGATTCTTTGTTTTATGTCTCCGTCTCCTCTTTTCCGCATTGCGACAATTCGCATGCGACGCAAATTAAAGCGAGAGTTCGCGATCGCAAGAGCGAAGCCAACGCGCGGCGCGGCCCAAAACGACGCCAAAGTAAACAAATCGATGCCGCGGGAATCGTCGCGCAACAGTAGCAACAGAAATAAAATGGAACTCACTTTTTCAGCCCAACCGTCTCGGCGATGTCGACGAGGTCGGACTTCTTTTGCGCGCGCAACCAGGACGTCATTGTGAATAAAATATTGGGGTTGGATATGAGTGGGCGGTGAGAGGAATCTGATTCGCAAGACTTTGACGTTTGACTTTGTCGTCTGTATTTTTGCGGATTGCAGGTGGCGATGCGGTTTGTGTGGCAAAGGCGCGATATGTGGTGAATTTGGAGTTATGGAGATATTGTGTTGCTGTGCGTGTGCGACAGGATAACAAGACGGGGGGGCGGCAGGTACTGGGGGCGGGCGCGGGTGGGTTGGTTTGTTTATGTTTTTTTTCTGGCAGCGTCGCGTGTTAGCCAACGAGAGGTTGGGGGAAGGCGAGTGGCTGGGTGGTAATACAAAAGGGAAAGAGCGAAGAAATGCGGGCGCGCAAATCAGCAAGTCAATCAACGAACGGGGCCCACTTTGGTTCCGTAAAGGGAGGAGAACCAGGGAAAGTGCGGACGGGAATATTCTCCTTGGGACGCGATCTGGTGTGCGGGAAGGAAATAAGAGTGGGCAGGAAGCAACGGTCGGCGGAGCTTGGTTCTTTTGAGTGCGATGATGAAATGCGACGAACAAGAGGGTCCAGAGGGAAGGAAGGTGGGAACCGTGTGGGATACCGACCAATGCACGTACCTGTTGTTGGAAGAGATGAACGAACTCGTATGGAAGCTTTCAGTCGTACAGAAACGGCAAGACCGATTGATGAAAGATGGGATGGAAGAGGGAAAGAGTGATGACGAAAACGCGCCCTGTGGCTTGATTGTCATGGGATTTTGTCAACGGAGGGAAAGCACGATGGCGACCTCTCCATTAGTGCGGAAGTGCAACAAGCCTTTGTTCCTCAGGCTCCCCGTTTCTTCAGCAATGCATGGCTGTCACTCGCGCCTTCCTACGGTGACAACTGTCGCAACACCAAGCAGGAACGACTTTGCAAACTTCATTTGGGAATATACCAAGTAGCTGGCCTTCACTAGGCAGTGGTTGCCTTTTTCGTTTTATTTTCCAAGTCGAATACCCATTTACGCCTCTAAGATGTAACAATACGGGTCGCTGGCACCTGTTGCTAGTGGATCGCGCCTTCTGTTTTTTTTTCCCCTCCCAATGTTTCCAGTTGTGTCGATAGCAGTTGCCTCATACATGTTTAGTGCAGACATACATGCCATAGAAAGAAGGAAAGAGCGAGGGAGAACGAAGAAAAAGGGGGTTTTTCCAGGAAATTATCATCTTCTCCCACGAGCTGTGATCGTCGCCAGTTGGCCTATCAGGTGTCATAGGTCGCGTCCCGCTCAACACGCGGCGTGTTGTATCCGCGTGAGCATCAGTCTTCATCGTGTTTAACTTCTTCACGGCAATCAGGTACGTGGGAAACATGCTGAGCATCTCCAAGAGAGAAGAGTCTGGCTCGCCTGGCCTCCACATTTCCACGTTTTTGTCGTTTCTTCTTTCTGAGATGTATTGGGTTATTCACATTTTAGACATGCAATTTCGTGATTATTATTTGACAGCCGTGCTCATACGCTGCATGCGCCGCACGCAGACGCACACGCGGTACCGTTGCAGCTAACTAGGCTCACGCAAAGACACCCCCAGACTGCCGCCCGCACACTACCTCGTTCTTGCATCCACGCAATGCACAAACCGCTCTTGGCCCCGCGGCACCAGCCGCACAGGCACAGCGGATTTGCCATGCAGCTTGAGGGTCAAGACTGATATGGCGCTCCGCAATGTGGCCCGACACCGCGTCTGGGCCTTGCTGTACAACTCCTGACGGGCCTCGTCATCCATGGCGGCAACTTGTTTATCGTCGGCCCAATCGTCGACGGCCAGCTCAATGCTGTAGCGCTGAAACAGCACGGCCAGAGCCGCGAGCATCTCGACCTGCGCGATGCGGCGGCCCAAGCAGCTGCGAGGGCCGTCGGAGAAGGGTACAAAGCTTCCACGCACAGGGCGGAACAGCTGCGCGCTTGTGTCAGGCCCACTGAACCCGCCATAGTCCTCGGTGTCGGCGCCGACAATATCGGCAAGCTTTGCGTCCTTTGCCTTCACGGCCACCGCCTCGGCGTCCTTTTCAAACCACCGCGCGGGCCGGAACATGTCGAGATCGGCGGGCGACAATTCAGGCCAGTACTTGGGGTGGCGCTGAACGGTGACGGCGCTCAAAATAATGTCGCAGCCGGCGGGCAGGATGTGTGTTTGGCCGGTCTCCGGGAGCGCGAGTGGCTGGTCGGCGGCGGGCGTGACCAATTTGGGCAGATTGATGACGGGCGGCATAAGGCGAAGCGTCTCGTTCATGGCGGCGCCAAGCATGGAGGCCAGCATGCCGTTGATGCTGGCTTCGTAATCCCAGGTGCTGGGGTCGGAGTCACGGCCCAGCAAGCGGTCCACATCGGCCTGCAGGGCGCGCTGGCTGGCCGGGTTGGTGGCGAGCTCGAGCAGAGCAAAGTGTAACGAGTTGGCGGTAGTCTCGTGGCCGGCGACCAGCATAATGAAGGCGTTGCCGATGATCTCGTCGTCGGTGAGGGTGGACTCTGCCAACGCATTGTCCGCCGATTTCGCCTTTTTCGTGGTTTTGTCCTCCACCTCGTCGTTGTACCGACCACGCACCAACTGACCCATAATGTCCATACCCATATCGCCGGCACGTATACCCTTTTCGGCGTCTTCCTTTGCGCTGGCCACCTTGTCGACTAGAAATTCGTTCATGTACTGCACATAGTTGGCATACGAGTGCAAGGCCGTGTGCGCCCTCGCCAAGAACAGCGACAGAAACTTGAGCAGCGGCGCGGGCATCAAGAGCAGCATGATGATGTTGTGCAAGGCGCCTTCGACTGACGCGGCAAATGTCATGGTGTGGCCCGACGGTGGCTCCTGGCTGCCGTACTTGCGCATGCGCGGGTGGGTGTCGGCCGGCAGGGCCTGGCCCGGCCAGGTGAAGCGGAGGCCGAAGCCGACATAGCCGATAATGTTGAGAGCCAAGGTCATGGTGTCCTTTTCGATGGTCATAATGGTGGGCGAGTCACTCTGGGCGGTGTCGTTCCACTTGGCGACGAGGCCCTGGGCCTGGTGGATGGCCTCAGCAAAGGTGTGGGCGGCGTTCTTCTCGTTAAAGGAGGCGCTGGTGGCCTTGCGGTGGAAGCGCCAGACGGCGCCCTCTGTGGTCAGGACGTTGCGGCCAAATATCTCGAGGATGCGGTAATTTTTCGTGGCCTTGGGGAAATGTTCGCGGCGCGAGGCAATCTCGTGGATGGCAGCGGGGCTCTGGGTGTACAGATTCATGTAGAAGGGGGCAACGATCAAGAAGGTGTCCCCGATGCGAGCAAAGTGCTCTTGGCCGGTGCTGTAACCCCAGTCGGGGAGCATGATGAACAGCCATCCCTCCCACATGCTTTTGGGCAAAAGCTTGATGAAGAAGACCCAGAACTGAAAGGTAAGCCGCCACATCGGGGTGTATGGCGAGCATGCTGTGCGATGGTGTCAATCTCGGAGGTCAAGTGTCTTGGAGTCGAACGCTGTATGTCATCGAGTTGTGCAACATCACATTATACTTACGCACAATGATATATGGAATGCGCGTCTTGCGGGCCTTGCGGAGATTGGATCGCAGACCGTTGACGATCGACAAGGCCAAAATGGTAACGGCGGCGCCAACCAGCGGAAGGACTTTGGAGGCCATGATAGTTTTGTTGCCGGCTATCCCAGGTCTCTAACGTCGACTAACAACTCAAAATAGGAAATCGCGTGAATCTGATCATCCAAATACCAACTGCTCTGTTTGGTCCGCGACCAAAAAGGCGTCAAGATCAGGGGACACGCAGAGCGAAAGCGAAGACAGAAGGGAACGAAAAAGTCTGAGAAACATTGCGTTTGCATTCTAGACGAATTGGAACAGGGGCCAGCTCGGATAATAAAAGATAACGAAACCTCCAAAGAACGGAAGCAAAAAGCCACCGTGCACCCTGACAGGAAAATGAAACCCACGCAATAGCGCCGTGGGTGACATTGGAAACGGTTCAAACGGCGCCAAAACCAGCCAGCAGACCTCCCATTCGCATGTCGTAAGCTACTGGGTAAGTCCACTAGGCCTGTCCATGACGGGGGTCAAGCATCATGCAGCATGTTGGAGCCAAGACTTGACAAAGGCCCCTGCATGTCTCCCCAATTGCAACCTAAAGGGCGGCCAAAGCGACTCCATTTGCCACGCACCGAGCCGTGCTGCTGGGCAGCTGCCCGCTGCTCCATACCGATGATCGCCCTCAAGGAGCGGAAATCCAAGACAGTCCCCCGATCGTTCAAGTCGTTTCGGGGCGCTTCAGGAATATTGCGACGTTTAGATGTAACACAGACTGCCGAGGCCAGAATGGCTTTAATGTCTTGTACGTTCAAATCTTGCCATCTATACATTCAAAATGATGTGGGCTAATGGATAAGCTGTAAAGTTTTGTATTTGCTATTGAGTGTTCACAAGCAAACTTGGCTCACTGTGACAATAAAGTGTGAGGGACAGGATGCGTTCAGTGCGTGCCCGCTGCATTGGACGATGGAGAACCCGAAAGGTATGCCGTACGGCCGGACGACCTAAAAGGCCGGAATCATAACCCAAGAACCCCAACTGGCGCTACAACGGTGCAACGGAAGCGTACTGAGGGCCATTTGAGGCCGATGCATACTCCAGACGGCCAAAATGGCCGGGATCATAAGCCAAGAACAACAAAAAGGTGCCATGGAAACTTTCTGAGGACCATCAGAGGCCGATCGTACTTACTGTAAGCACGACGTAATACGTCGTATTAACAGCTTGAGGGTACTGACACTTTCGGGCTGGGTTGGCTCTCACATTGCTTGGCTCTCAAGCGCGGAGACGGGTGACTTTTAGGACGCGTTCCCTCTTGAACCTGAGCCTGAACGCGTCTTCTATTCTGTATTTCAAGTATCATAATTCAACGACGCACCACTGGAACACGCTTTGTATAACAAGACTTGTAAGTGAAGACAGCCTCCATCGAGTTTCTCCACGACTCGTAACATACTACCTTTGATCTCTTACGCTTTTAAGAACGAACCAGAGCGTCTGACATTTGTTTCCCAGTTTGTTGAACCCATTAACGGAACGGTGCCGTTTGGTAGGGTGAGATGCCACCACTATAGAATATCTGTTTCCGGTTCTCAACAAGCCAGCTTGCTGAGAAAGCATGTTGGCTTTAGCTTTTTTCACAGTGACAAGTTGCTAGGTATCGATTATATACAATATATGTAGTTATATTTTATGCTTATATTGACAGGTTGTTAAGTTTTAATAAATAACGAAATATTAGATGTTGTATGCAGAAGTTTCCCTTGTTTAGGACGGATGTATCTTTCATATCTCAAAGCTCTTGTCCCTTTCACCTTTTTCACTCAAAAGTTATGGAACACGTGTGGAAATAAATAAAAATAAACGCAGTCCGAGGATGGACGTAAGGCGGCGGGAAGACGCGAAAGAGCGTGAAAGGAGACGGACCAAAGAGGACACAGAGAGAACGTGCAAGATGGAGACGCCGGCCATACCGACCATACACACGACACGTAAATCGTACGTAGTAGAGAATTTGGCTCAGGAAGTCATAGCGCATATCATATGTCACTGCTCGTAGACACATAAAAACTAAAGCATGCTTCCATAGGAAAGAGACTTAATACATGTCACACTACGGAGTACAGGCAACAAATTCACAGCACACGTCGATCATGATAGGACATATCAAAACTGACTGTTCTAAACACAATAATTCACATCACAAACCCAAAACGTAGTAAACAGCATATATTTGGAAAAAGTAAAATCATCGTTCGTGGTATCGGGGCCCAAGTCAAAAAACCCATCTTCGCTCATGAAGAAGTACTTGGTAAAGGCGATGAATAAGGAAATTCGTGGTATGGTTAATCCAGTCAACCAAACTAGCGGTAACAAAATCAAAGTCATACGCAAATAAAAAAGGAAATGTCCGGTCTTTGTAAAAAAAAAAAAAAGAAAAGAAAAAAATTGATAAAGACAAAGATGGTAATGAACCAGCCGAGTCCAGCCCAAGGTGTCCACCCATTCCTATTTTGTCTGGAACCTCGACCCTTTCTTGATGTGTGGATAAGAGGGCTGACTTTTGTAAGAACAAAAGAAAAGGCAAAATATACCGCTCCATTTTCGGGTAAAAAATCCTTTGATGGCATTCCTTTCTTGCAATAAAAATTCAGAAAATGACAAGACGCAACGACCGCAACTTTTTGAAGAAGAAGTAGGAAAAATAGACAAGATATAAAGATGACGTAAAACATATGAAAACCAACGTATGGATCAAGAAGAGGATGCAACGCAGGTAGATAGACCGTACATCTAGAATAACATGATGATAACGAGAAAAAGAACAAAACAAAACACCGCTAAGATCACGAATGACACAGGACAGACAACTAGCAGGTACCCTGCGCCTGTGCTTGCGGAACCGGCGAGATTGAATGGGCCTCGGGGCTGATGGGGCGGGTGTATGTAGCAGGCATTACAACGCTGGTGGTCTCCTTGGTTAGTGCCAGCGTGAGTGACACAGCTGATGACGTCTCTTGGCGCGGGTGGCCAAGATATTCAGCGTCAGACGACTTCGACTGCAGGGTACGATCGGCGCCTTCTGCCGGACCAGGCTTGGGGGTGGCACCAGGAGCCGGAATCGGAGTCTGAACGGCATCACTGCCTGGAGTGGGCGTGTGCTGCGTGGCGAGCGTCGCCTTAGTTGTAACCGGCGGGTTCAGCGACTGAATAAGATCTTGAATAGGCGCCAACCGCACACCCTCAAACTTATCCAAAGGCCGAGTGGGAGCCACAGCGGGATCATAAGCAAGGGCAGTGGTATGTGCAGGTGGCTGGGGTTGGGCTGGCTGGTATTGTTGCTGCTGGGTGTTGCGCCCATCCTCCAAATACCGATTGGACGAGTTGTAAACGTATTGACTGCTGCTGTGCTCTTGCTGGTTTGTACTGTAGCTGTGGGCGTGTTGGTGATGATGACCATGAGCGGGACCATGGTTCATGCTGTGGCTGTGGGCGTGGCCATAATTGACACGGTGAGAACTTGCGTTGATGGCCTGCTGGCCGCCGTAGCTTGCATGACTCTGGTGCGTGGCATAGGGTGGGTAGTCAGTCGCCCTGGGCACCTCTTCTGCGTGGCGACAGCCGTTGTTATTGGTGCCAGTGAGGCTATCGGTAGCGAATCGCGATGGGGCGTTGAACTGGAGAGGCGGCAGCGCATTGCTACCAGACGAGGTCGGTCGTTCAAAGTGCGACGATGAGTGGTGCATGAAGCCCGCCTCGGACTGCGACCGCTGGTGCATATTAGGCCGACGCGCGGCAGCCGAGGTCGAGTTCAAAATGTACTGCTGCGACTCCAGCTGTTGTGCAACGGGCATGCTGCCGAACCGCTGAGGGTTGGGTGCGGGAAGAACGCTAGATGCAGCATCGGCCTGGCCAGACCCGCCAGGTGTGCTATGATGACGCTCATGCTCACGGCGCACCTCAAAGTCATGGGAAGAGCGGCGATCAGTTTTATAGCCATCGTGTGAGGTCGTCAACTCAGGAATGGGCCGTTGATGCGCGTAAAAGTCGCCGGCATTGTCGCCATACCGCTGGTGCTGATGGTCATAGTAGCTGGCTTGGCTCTCAATATGGCTCTCGGCATGACTCTCAGCATGGCTCTCACGGATGCCGGTGAAAGCCGGGCGATGGGCGAGCTGCACACGGCTGTTGAAACTGGAACGCGCTGCCATGGGGTGTTCAAAGCGATCCGACATGCCACCTAGGCTATGATGGTGCTGGTGCTGGTGCTGATGCTGGTGCTGGTGGCTCATTCCCAGCACACCTTCACCGTCAATACGTTGGCGTTTCTCCATAGGAGGCTGCAGGTGGTGGTACTCGGAAGCGAACGAACGGCCTGAGGCTGCCACGTGGTTGTTGGGCTGGCTGCTGCGGCGGGCCATGGGAATCGAGTCGGACCGGAGCGCGGACGTATTGACAGACTGAGAACGGCGATGGCCACCGGCAGCAAAACCAGACGAGGAAGCCGTTCGCCGCTTGGTGTAGGTCTTCTTGGCCGTGTTATTGGAGGCCGGCTCGTCACTGTTGCTATCGGTGACAATGTTGGGCAAGATCTCAATGTCGGGGATCTGCTGCAGACGGCCCTGGTTGATATCGGACTTGAGGTGCTCGACCACCTCCAGGATACCTGCCGTAGAAAAGCCATCACCAATCTGAGCAACCACCCACTCAGGCACAGCCGTACCGCTCATCTCAGCGCGGTCTTCGTCAAAATTATCTTCCTCGTCCTCCATGCCATCCTCATGGAACGGCCGCTTCTTGCCGCTGGCCGCCATCTTGCTGTCCAGCCGCATTTGCTCCCGCTTGCGGACCGACAATGACCAGTCCTTGAGAACAGGGCCGCGGCTTTGCTGGGCATTGCTATCGCTCCAGGCCTGCACCCGGCGGATTTGCTCTTGAACGAGGCCGATCTGGCGCTGTGGATACTCGCCGCCATTTCGATATCTGGTTCGCTGGTAATGCTTGCGGCAGTAATGGACCCAGACGCCCGTCGGAATCATCCGTGTGCACAGCTTGTTGCGGCCGAAGATGTGCGAGATGGCCTTGCGCAGCTGCGAGCCAGT